ACAAGGAACGGGTTCTGATTTTACATTGAGGTAATTTGGAACGCTGATGATTTTGAATATGGTATTCACAAAATTAGCCTCGTGGCTGCTGGATTAGTGAAAAAATATTGTCGTTCCCCCTCGTATACCGGTCATCGACATTGATTTGGGCAAGTTGTTGGGTGACCTTCGTGGCAAAAAAAGAACCAAGAGAGCTCAATCATTTATATAAAAACTCGATTTAGTAGAAGGTAGCAGAAGGTAGTACTTATGAACTGGTACAAAGCATTTATGTTTTAATCTCCCAGACGACAAAAAAATGTATCATGATCTATAAAATGTTAAGTAGGTAAAATAATAAGCTTTAGAAACTATCAGTAGGATTTTCCATTGTAGCTCTTGGTCGCCAAATCTACTCATTAAAAGGTCACTCCCGATAAGCTCTTTGTTAGAATAGCAACAATTTTTTCAAAAAAATAAACTCTAACGGATGGAAGAAATGGTACCTGTGCAAGAAGTGTCATGTAAAAGTTCCCTCCAAGCTTTTTTTCCATATTACTTTTGCATATGGAAATAAAACAATACGGTATGTAGTTTTAAATGACTTTATTCTTTTTCGAAGTATTTAAAGTCTTTTAGGTTTTGCATATGGAAATAAAACAATACGGTATGTAGTTTTAAATGACTTTATTCTTTTTCGAAGTATTTAAAGTCTGGTGACACTTAAACATTCACTGTAGTGGGAACACTGCACGTATTGTTGTGAAACTTTGAATTTAAGTTTACTAAAGAGTGAGGTTAAGATTCAGTATTGACGTTCGATCCACGCGGCCTACTATGTTTCTATATGCAAAACTTAAAAGACATCCCTCGTATAGGGCGCCCCCTGCTCTAAACGCTCAAGTCAGCAATTTTTTTCAAAATAATAGTATTTATCTTACCCCCACTCTTAATTTTTGTTCGCCTGTACCGCCCCCTCCCGAGACGATTATGCTGCGACCACCATTGTGCCTCCCTAGACAGATCCCTAAGTCCGTCTTTGCCTAAGTGTGGCCATTCCGCATACCTCATTTGATGCAAAAGTTATACAGGGAAAACCAAATTTGTCTGACGACTTGAGTTCAATGTGCTCGACAGAGAAGCGCGAGAAGTGTGTAAGACACACATGTTAGAAGGAGATAGAAGTCCGAACTCAATCCGTCAGACAAATTTGATTCTCAGTGTATACGTCGATAGAGCTGTGCTAGTGACGTTTTTGTATTAATAATGAATAACCCTATGTGACGGCAAACATGTATCTTTTGAATACGAATGACCTTATTTTTCAGTACAAATAATAAATAGGTAATTAGCTAGTTCTATTCTACAAATTTTAAAACAATGGATTGTCTTACATCCACGATTTCCTCCTTTGAAGGAAGTATTGTAACCGCGAAAAATTATACATGTACAATTATTCAGCATGGTCTGTCGGCATGTCGGTCTGTCTATCGGCTAATCCTTGGTCTGTCGATATTATGGAAAGTACCACCCGAGTATGATGACATTTTCACACAAGGTGCTAAGTATGAAAAAGTTTCTGAAAATTGGTTCAGTGGCGGCGGAGCTAAGTGCACGAAAACAAAGATCGCTGAAACTTCTGTTTTTGACGATTCAGAGAATTTGGTGGCTATTGTATATTCATATGCGTGTCCAATCTCGGTAACTCTCCGCACCTATTAGGCGTATTCCACACATCATAAATTTTTGAAGCATGTAAAACTAAAACATCTGTTGTAATGGGTTGTCCAATAGGGACGCAGGAAAGTAAACGTCAATTTGACATAGAGACATTTTGTTAGTTGAACGTTTACCACTGATCGCTATGGAGTCGTATTCGATTGAAGACCGCATTAATGTTATTCAAGAGCACTACAAAAATGGTGCAAAAATAAAAAACACGTTTCGTGCGCTTCGTGAACATTTCGGTCGCAACAACCGCCCAAACGAAGCAACCATCGGTCGTCTGGTGCGTAAATTCGAGGCAACAGGTTCTGTGGCAAATCTGCCAGGCTCTGGCCGGCCAAGGAGCGTTCGGACACCGGAAAATATTGCTGTTGTGAAGGAGAGTGTGAGAGACGATCCGAAAGAATCAACAACGCGTCGATCCCAAGAATTGGGCACTTTGAGAACCAGTTTGCTCCGCATTCTCCACAAGGACCTTTAATGTACACATCTACAAGGTCCAGTCGGGCCGACCATTTTTCGCGCCGAACGTTCTCAGATTGGCTCCTTGAACGCCGCCAAATTGATGCCAATTTTTCATCAAAAATCATGTTCAGCGATGAAGCGCATTTCACTTTGAATGGGACGGTAAACAAGCAAAACTGCCGCATCTGGGCGAACGAAAATCCCCGTGAGTATCAAGAGCAGCCGATGCATCCTCAAAAAGTGACTGTGTGGTGTGCATTGTGGTCAAAAGGCATCATCGGACCTTACTTTTTCGAAAATGCGGCCGGGGACGCCGTTACCGTCAAGTCTGAGCGATATCACGTGATGGTAGAGGACTATTTTTTGCCGCATCTTGAAGGAATGGATATGGACGATGTTTATTTCCAAAAAGACGGTGCAACATGCCACACAACCAACGTCAATATCCATCGATTGCAGTCCTTCTTCGGTGATCGCGTGATTTCGCGCAGAGGAAATGTGCCATGGCCACCAAGATCGTGCGATTTGACTCCCTTGGACTTCTTTTTATGGGGATATTTGAAAAGCAAAGTCTACGTCAACAAACCAGCCACCCTCCAAGAACTCAAAAACAACATCATTGCCGAGATAAATGCCATAGAACCGACCATGTTGCAAAATGTCATTGAAAATTTCGACCATCGCGTGGACGTCTGTAAATCCAATCGTGGTGAACATTTGAGCGATATTATTTTTCATACATAAATGGTATAAATGAACCTTCAAAATAAAGTACCCAACTTGGTTTGAATATCAATCTTTCTTGTTTTAATGTGCGTTTACTTTCCTGCGTCCGTCTTGGACAACCCCATAGTATTGCATATCTTGACAAGCTACTTCTGCATTGAAACGATGAACTTTTTTGGGCGTGGTCACAGTCTGAATCACTTCCATTCTGTTGTCTGTGCGGCTGTGTAAAGGTCTAGGCAAACTGGTCTAAGTCGTTACAAATATTATTTCCGTGACATAAAAAAATAGTAATAACAAGCCGGCCATGGACATAAGATTATTTTTATAATCATCATGGACATGGCTTTAAACAATATCAAGGTAAGCGTAGGTACCGAAACCCGTGTACGCTAAATACATATACAAGGGTGCTGCATTATGAGCCCGGGCCGGAAATAAGCGTCTCTTCAAAGATCACGTTTATGTTGTTCTTTAAAACATTAAAGAAACCCAATAAATCCTCGAAGTGCAGGCAATTTTCGAATAGTTCCACCTCAATTTCATTGATTAAAAAATCTATCGAAACCTACTGCAGTTGAAATGATTTTTAAACTAGATGATTAGCTGGTCATCATAATCGTCTGAAGTTACAAGGCCTTTCAATTTATAGGAGCATATGTCACTGAAGTGATGCACCGATCAAGGTATTCTGTAAGTAGTAGAATATGTAAATCAACGGTGCATACAATTTTCAGTTTAAGAGTGACATTTAAACCCCGTCGTGTATGGCCATTCGCATTTTTTCTACAGTACTATGAGAACTATACAGAGTGTTTCGGAACTATGGGATCAAACTTGTGGGGGTTATTCAGTGGAACAGTAGAAAACATTTGAGTATAGGGACCCATCTCCAGCGCTTGTGTGGTGTTATCTTTAAAAACGATAACACAGTTTTTTGTAGCTGCATTCCATATCGCCTTAGTCGTGCTATCGTATTGGTGAAGTTTGCAAGAATTTAACAAAAATTAATTGTTGCTAATCAAGAATTGGTATCAAATTTTTAGTCAAGTTCGCCGAAATCATGTGCGAGGTTTAAATCGGTGTATTCAGGTTGGAGGAAGACATTTTGAACAATTGTTGTGATGATATCATGTACAAAAGAAAAAAATTAAATGCATTAAATCCTATTTAGGCAATTCATCGGCTTTCTAAACTTTCTATACTCAAATGTTTTCTACTGTTACACTGATCCCTAGAAGTTTGATCCCTTAGTTCTGAAACACCCTGTAGAACTAACATTAAGCTTTAGACAGCAAATTTTAAATGTATTTGCAATGTTGCGGAACAGTCTTCTTTCTAATTGAATCTCAACATGTACGAGGCCGATTTTTGGGTCTACTTTAAGGAGTGGAATTTCATACGAAAGTGTGCCCTAAACGTCTTAAATTTTGAGATACAGAGTGGTAAAGTTTTCAATGTAGAAGTTCAGTGGCGCTGACTTTTCCTAAAAAAATTGATATCTGTATTCATTTTTGAGCAGACTTGGTCTCACATTTTTAGCCCAAAGCACGGTTTTCTTTTAAAAAAAATAAAAGCTATTCCTCTGCATGATAATATTGTCATATTAACGATATTGCTATATATGATGAAGATACGCGTTTTTATTTTTTTAACCGAAAATCGTGCGACTGAAAACATCAGGCGATCAAGTTTGCCCGAGGATGATTGAGAATCTCAAAAATCCGTACGAACGCCACTGGTGGAAATTACAAGAATGTGATACTTCAAAAATGCCTCCTGCTACATTATACATGTATGCCAAATTTAAAATAGATTATTAATTTTTTAAAACATTACACCACCCGCTTTTATGAAATTTTGTTCTTAAAATGAACCCCAAAAACGCCCCCTTAAATGTTTGCAACCAATCAGGTTACACCCCTGTATTTGAATGGAATATCTGCCTTGGCTATTTTAGTCAGAAAGAACAATAAAATCCTAAAAATAATAAAATTTTAATATGCACCAAGGACTCCAATTTTTACCCACATCACAACAGTTGATTGGAAGGTCTTGTAAGAATAATCTAATAACAAATGAAATTAATGACGAAATGTACTTACTTTACAATGGCCTTAACTTGAAAACCGCATGCCGGCGACTACATACAGTTTATATTTCTACATTCAAGTGGTTTAAGTGGATACATAATTTCCATTAAATTTCACAGATCGATAGCTCTTCCTCATAAACAACGCACTTTAACTATGATAAAATCACTAAGCGCTGAAAGCTACGCACTTCACAAAAGTATATATACAGTCTGTGATTGAACTACACTTAGCAAAACTGCGTTGATACTTTAAACAAATACGAAAAAAGTCGCATGCATATCGTATCGAATACTATTTTGATGTTATTGAAAAAGTTAGATACCTAGTTATCATACTGGATAATAACACACCTCATGAATATCAGTAGCGCGCCTTGAGAAACATAAGGAATAAATGTATTAGGCTGTTTTAAGTAAAATAGAAAGTTAATTATTGACGTGGTACTATTCGAGAGGTTCAATTTTCTGAAACTAATGCATATATTAAATGACAAAAAAGAGAACACCCAGTAGTAAAGTAATAAAGTTATTATAACAATGAGCCGTATTCATAAAAGAGAAGCATATCCGCGGGAGCATAAGGTAAAAGTATAAGGCCTTGCTTCGGAGAAAATGGTAGAAGTATAAGCATATCCTTGTTTTCATATTCATAATGATTACCTTATACTCGCGAGGATATCCTCCAAGAAGAAGTAAAAGGTTGACTGGTATTTGTATCTTGAGCGAGATGTCCTGACTTGTTCCAGCTTGTAGTTGACCTGGGAGTTCGTTCACTCAACATCACTGACAGTTGTACTCCAGAGTTTACACAGACCGTTCCGTATGTCAACTGGTTACAGTTTCTTATCAAAATAATAAGCATGTCATCCTCAAGTGATGAGGAAACTATAGAAAATAATGGCAACGACCTGCAGTTCATCGCTGATGAAATTGCCATTGCTCCCATCATTTTGCAAAAGTCACAAGTTCCAAAAATAAAAATGATAAATGACGATGCCTTCAAGAAGATGTTGAAAATATACGAATCAACATTCGGTAAACCATTAGATACTAAAGGCTTATTAAAAAAATCAACAGCATGAAATCAAGGTTGAAGAAAAAAACAGATCTAAAAACAACTGGTAATAAAATTATTAGATTGGGAAAGAAAGTTGCTGAAAGCTATGGAAGATGACTGTATTCCTACAATTGAAAAAATTGGAGGTGCAATTCAAGTTGGTAGTGTTCAAGAAGAAGGAAGTGAACTATATACCGAGCGCAGTGAGCAAACAGCGCCAGCAATTCAGAAGACATTGGCACCAAAAAGAAAATTAGCAACAGAGAAATACGAAACTGAGGAAACCAAAGGGTTAACTACAAAAGAACTGCAACGTCTAGAGCTATTACAGCAGTACCAAACAAGTATTTTACAACAAGAGTATTATAACACGAAATTAGAAATGATGCAGCGTCAGAAGCCACCTGTAGCTTATGATCACGAAAATAAAACTTATTTTAACTTATAAATACACTTTCATCAGTAAAACTATTTATTATAATACTCAAGTTTCTTCTTATTTGTTGACCTAGTTGGCGGAGAGGAAGATCGTCATTCTCATGATTTTCTTCATGTTCATCTAGGTCTCGTTCAACTAACTCAAAGTCTGGATCGCCCAAGATCTTCGCAACATTATGGAGTACAAGCTATAATTATTTTCGGCACATTTTCCAACTTTACGCGGCAAACATACTGTAGGATAGGAAACCGGCGTTTCAGTTGGCCGAAACCGCTTTCAATTATAACTCTTTCTTGCTTTAAAAGCTTATTATAACTTATTTCTGCACCTGGAGTAGGATTTCTGAACGGAGTCATAAGGCATGGCTCAATACCATAACCGCCATCGCCAAGTAGTACAACAATTGCTTTATTTATTAATTGTGATCTAGTCTGTGAATTTCTCCTTATTCTGGAATCATGCACTGATCCAGGCCAACTGACATCAACACTTGTGAACATCTCTCTGGCATCACAAGTGGCTTGCATATTTAAAGTAGGTTTCCCTTTTCGTATGATATACTCATCTCCATGGCAATTTGGTTTCAGGATTTCTATAGGTGTACAATCAATTACACCAGTTGCTGTCGGAAATTTATACATGCTTTGCCACATCCGCTGGGCCTCCATCAGTTCATGGTTGGTAGTTGGAAACTTGATCCATTAGTTCGGCTGTGCAACTATGCTGTTCACAACTCTATCCACAGTCCGAGATACCGTTGCTTGACTAACACCAAGTTCCTGACCAATACCTTGTTGATATCCAGGGTCACCGAGATAGCGTAGACATATCTTCATTTTATGAATACATGAAGGTGCTCCTCCTCGAGTTTCTTCATTCTCAACTGAAAATCTGTCCGCAAGCCATTGTACATTTGCTTCGTCGAACCGATATAATTTTTTGAAGTCATGACCAAGTGAAAGTAAACGAGGTTTGTACGTTTTAACATACCTAACATCCACAATTTCCGCCATCATATTTGACCACCTTTCGTTACGAAATTGTCTGCTACTGACAACACTCAGAATTTTTGAAGGATATGCTTCCTATGCCATGTATAAGGTGAAGATTAAGAATATCCTTTTACTTATGTCACTGCTTTGAAGGATATGTTTATAGTCAAAAAGCAAAAGAATTTACTTAAAATTATTATAAATACCATCTCGAGGATTTCCTTTAAAATTTGCAACTATAAGGATATACTTTGTTTTATGAATACGGCTCAATGTTTTGTATGAACATTTTAAATGACCCACTTTCTTTAATATATTCAGTTTTCATTTTGTGGTATTTATATCAGATTGAATTTGAATGGTGTTGACTTTTGGTGGGGCCGCATTGAAATTAGAGTTGCCTGTTTCAGCAGTGACGTGAGTTGGCCACCAAGATCCTACGATTTGACCCCACTAGATAATTTGTGGGTCAATAAGCCCGAAACATGGAGGGAGTACGATGCTCAAACTTTACACTGGACTGAGCCATTTAAAATTGGAGCTTATACCTATCGTTATAAAACGTCTACCTTCACGCTGGTCACGCTACTGAATATGATAATCGTGTATGACGCATTATGTGGGAAGATTTATGACTGAAAAGAATATGAGCTAAGCCAAGTAAGAAATTAAAATCGTGTTTGATTACTAACTATTGAAAGTGATATACGTAGGAGGTAGTGTCATCGATCCTAGAAGCTTTGGCAGAGTATTTTCGACGCCGCAGTGTACCATCTTGTTCTATAGCGATAGTGCTTCGAAATACCTAACATTTAAACTATTTTATCTTCGTTTTGTCAGTAATTATAATATCCACATATATACTAAGTGACATATAAATCCGAACACCCAGTTTAAATGGTTTTATTTTAATAAAATTTGGTGAATGTATTTATCTTACTGTAAATAACAAGTGAAAACATTTTCAGCCTTATCAGTTGGACATTCCGGTTTTTATACTGCTTTTTTTAACTCACTAACGCTCTAAAAATGAATATTTCAGCCGCAGTAAAGAATCAACGTTGGCGGATTTTGGTTCTTGACAACCTTTACGATCGGTTACGATGCCTAGAGTACGGAGACCTGTACGATTTCGTCAACTTAGTGAGTTTGATAGGGGCCATATAGTGGGACTTCGGGAAGCTGGACTTTCTTTTCGGGCAATTGCAGTTAGAGTGCAAAGAAGTGTAGACACTGTGGTTAGGTGTTGTCAGGCATGGCTTCCAGAAGGCCGTACGCAAAGAGCAAGGGGCACTGGACGCCGCCGTAGAACAACAGACCGTGAAGATCGCCGCCTAAGATTATTGGCCTTAAGGGACCGTTTCTCCACTACCAGGTCCATTGCAAATGAATGGTTTGCAGAACACGGAAGACCTATTGGCATGCGAAGTGTTTACCGACGAATGAGAAGTTTTGGCTTGTTTTCATACCGGCCACACTGGGTCCTCCCTTTAACTCGAGAACACCGACGTAATCGCCTTGAGTGGTGCAGACAACGGTCACTCTGGGATCAGGAATGGAACAGTATTGTCTTTAGTGACGAGTCTCGATTTTGTTTAGGCATGCACGATGGTCCTGCCAGGGTGAAAGGAGGAATCCACAGTTTTTTGTTGAAAGACATGTTCATCACACTGTTGGAGTTATGGTTTGGGGTGCTATAGCTTATGGTTTCTGGTCACCTTTAATCTTCATCAGAGGTAACATGAACGCGCAGCGTTATATCCACGAAGTTCTAGAACCCCATCTTTTACCCTATCTTGACACCCTGGCAGATCCAACTTTCCAACAAGATAATGCCCGACCACATGTTGCAAGAGTCACAATAGACTTCTTTCAACATAATGATGTCACATTGTTACCATGGCCACCAAGATCTCCCGACTTATCCCCAATTGAGCACGTGTGGGATATGATGGGTAGGAGATTGCTCAATTTGCAACGTCCTCCTCAGACTCTAGAAGCACTTCGAGATGATTTGGTGGTTGCCTAGAATGAGATACCACAGGAGGACATTGACCACCTGATCAGGAGCATGCCTAGGCGCGTTGGAGAATGCGTAGCACATCAGGGTGCATCCACACATTATTAAAGGTCAAAGGGCTTTAAAGCAGTGCAATCATTTTGAAATTTTTATCATTTACTTATTATGCTTCATTAAGTACTTATACAAAATTTTATTAAAATAAAACCATTTAAACTGGGTGTTCGGATTTATATGTCACTTAGTATACTTATACATTTTCTCTATCTATTTACTTGTTTTATACTGAAGCAGCCAGGTAGGCAGAAAACGGAATACAAGGACACCGCGACCGCTATCAGGAGCTTCAAGACGTCTTGTTAATCAGATTTTTGAACTGCCCAAGGTAGATAGTTCCATAATCTCTAAACCTTAGGGAGAAACTAGAGGTTGTAATCAGGAGCCGAAGTCAGGCGGATTTGTCTGCCAAACGCATCGCGCGGCGGCTAATGGGTAGAGCTCTGAGGAGCAAAACCCGTTGTCATAGCGATAGAAGACAGCCATATCGCTGACAGCCGATCGGCCTGCATGAGGAGTGCTGTCATTAGCATGATCTATTGATGCAGTTTAGTTGTAATTCATATACTCTTATCGTATATTTATTGTAATGTGTCCAACATATGATTTAGTAATAGTTGACTAATTTCTATTCGATTTTTCTCAATTGGTCTATTTTTCTTTATTAATGTTTACGGATGGGCTGAAAAATCTGTATACAGGGTGTAAACGTTGATAGTCATTATTTAAATGGGTGATACAGGGGGTTAAAAGAAGCAAAAGTTTTCGTGTAACATGGGTGTCAAAAGGGCATTTTTTTAGAGAAAAGCTACTTTAAAGTAAAATAATATCTGACAACGTCGCAAGCTACGACGGAACGCAGTGCAAATAA